TTTTTTCTTTTTTTTTTTTTTTTTTGCTCTTTTTGGCGGGTACATGATTATATTTTTGGGGGGTCTGTTCCTTGTAAGTGGCTAGTTAAATGGGGTGTAGTATGCTATAAAAAAACACGTTACGAGATTCACTAGTAATTTTTGATACGATGGCAAAGTACGAGTAAATAGGTTAAAATTTTCCTAATTAGGTATTATAATATGACTTGAAAGTTATTTAAAAAAAAAATTCTTTCCTTGTTTTTTTGAATCATCGTGTTAAAAAAATTGTTTAAAATTTTTTATTTTGTGCATGACAAAGATGTTATTTCTTAAAATTTCAAGAGTCTTTTTTCCTCGGTTTTATTAAATGCCAAGATCTTGAAATATTTTTAAATATTTTTAAAGGTTATTTTACGCCAAAAAAATGTGGAATTTCGTAAATCTAAACACTTTACTAGATAATTCTAAAAAAATGAAAGTTGAATAAATTTGATCTAAAAAATGTATTTATCGTCACATATTAAATAAGCAATTTAAATAAAAATTGAGAAAATTTGTAACAAGGCATAATGCTTATAATATTTTGTCACATCGAACATTTCTATTATTTTTGTAGCCTTATGAATTATACTTTTAATTATTGTACTAAAAAAATTAATGTATTCTTTATAACCAGTCACGGTGCGCTCGTGACTAATGACAAAAAAAAACCCTGAAAATTACCAAAACATTACGTGTTCACTGAGTTTGAAACTTGCATCGTCATTTGCATCGTTAATATAAAAAATCACTCTTTAATTTTGTGTCCTGTATTGAATTAGAGTTAAAAAAACGTTTTTTTAATTAAAATTACCAAGTGACCATTTCATCATAAAAAACTAGTGCCCTGGCAATAATAACACTTGATAATAATAAAGAATCTACGTGTGAAAACAGGTCTATTGTCGTTTATGTATAAATAATATAGATGTAAAAGAAAAAAAAAACGTATGCAACTTACATTGGTGATAAAAATATTGTATAGCATATATTAATGTATGAAAAGAGCATTTTGCATTATTTCTCACCTCTTTAAGTCTTTCTTGATCTTGAATGTAAAATGCAATATAAAACAACGACAGGAAGGAGTTGACAAATTGAAACTGAAACGCAAACAAAGGCACATTATCGATCACTCACGCAAACTGGTACGCGTAGTGTAAAATATTAACTGTAAGCCAAGCTGCTACGACATGCACACACGCCCTCAAATACCAACCCTCGTAGTCAAGTTGACATCGATATTAACAATATTTTCAGCTTTTAAAACATTGAAATTTCAGCTAAATGGATAATTTATGCATTGTCGCAGACATTGATGAGCACTAAAAGCAAAAATGATGATATTTTTCGAGAATGGATGGAAAAAGTAGATCAGCTGTACTTCAAAAGCAGTATCGATTGAGCAGAACTTAATAGTTTGTGGAATAAGTTGCGTCGTACGGTTCGAGTTGAATGACTCGTGTTTCAGCGATCGAAGCGACTAATGTCGTTCTATCATTTATGCACAACTCTCTGTTATATTAATGAACTGTGGGATTGTGATGGCACGCGATGTGAAGTGTCATGTCGTCATATGTCTCTATGTGACCTTTGATATCTCAATTACTTTTTATCAAAAGATGTTTTTGGTTAATTAGATTATTTTAAGGGTAAGTCAATCATTTGTAGATACTTTTTCGAACAGAAATTTTGAAGGTAAAAGACCCAAATTCGATAGTTTGAGGATATGTTGAAGAATAATGATGCCGAACAAGCCGATAAGATTTTCATACGAAATAATTGTCGAAAGAAAATGTTTGTATGGTTAAACTAATTAATTAAGCCGTGCAATTCAATGATCAATATATCTTCGTAACACTCAGTATTTATCATTATTGTACTTTTTCTGTTTTTTAGAGAAATTCATAAAAAATATTTTTGGATCATCATTGTGGACACCATCGATATTCAGGTCATTTATCTTAGCTAAAATGAAAAGGAGATACATTTTTTTCCCACATTCGAATTACAAATGCACAAAATTATCCGTTTCCATGCGAAATGATGTAAAACATCGACACGACACGTCACATCAAAGCCGTATAGGTATGTATAAATGTGTAGCATCTCGCATTTATACGTACAGCTCGAGGCGTACGATACTATTTGCAAGCTCTGACCAAACGCGTGCACTAGTAAAAGTCGACAGCCAAGATGGAGGGAATAAAAAGCTTAGCTGCTATGCAACGTATGATATATAGGGTAAAGTCTCGCTCGAGCGCCCGCGTTTACAAGTAGTTGTCGGTGAGATTTCGTTTTCTCAAGGTCAGCCACTCATTCTTTCCTTCTCCACTTTTTTTTCCATTGTTCAGCGCGTCTTTTGCTTCTTTACTGGTGCAGCCGCGAATTCCGCTGAGCTCGAGGAAAATTTTTTCCCTCCCTTCGACGCAGAGTTTCCGAGCTATTGACGTGCGCCCGAGTTTCAGGATTTGTGGCAGCTCATTTTTGTAATGTAGATACCACTAGTGCTTCGTTTTCGTGGAAGGAGATTTAAAGATCTCTCGTGGCGAAGTTGACGCGCGACACTCGACCTGACTTTCGTCTTGGCTTTATTTTTACCAGAAAAGTTTCCGGACGGGGCTATTGTGCACTTGTGCGGGCCNGTGAGTGTGGCAATCACGACACGCACGAGTTCCATACTAAATTTTTGGACATTAAGCATGTAAAGTTCAACTTCTCGGTACTTGTACAGGCTTGAAGGGCTGCGCACTCTGAAGTCTTTTGGAGACTTCCGAGATCTTTGAAAGACTTAGAATGACTTATGAAGTCTTTTTTAATGACTTGAAGTCTTTTTTGATGACTTTAAGCTATATGCGCTCTTTAAGTCCCGGTAAAAAGTCTGAAGTCTTCTGAGATCTTTGAAAGATTTAGAATGACTTACGAAGTTTTTTTTAAAGACTTCAAGAATGCGCAGCCCCTCGTACAGGCTTTGCAAACGATCCGATTTTAACATGGTGTGAATAAGTAATATTTTGTGTTCTAGTGTAAAAATAGTACATGACGCGATATAATATTGTCACACTGTGATATAATCGGATAATTTACACACGCTGATCAGAGGTTTAAAGTTGATCTTTACAGAACGAGTGTCCGAAAATACTCGTGTGAAAAAAACTAGATTTTGCGATTTTTTAACGTGATATAAGTTTTAATTCTGGTTTATTGATAATTTATTGGTGAGACAGAAAATTTACAAAATTAAAAATATTGTAATCAAATCAACCCATGTGTGAAACGAGTAAACTAGAGCGAAAAAAGAATTTAAGAGTAAAAAAATAAGTAGCTAATAAGACTATTCGTTAAAAGGGAAGATAAAGTCTTGGGGTGAAACGGAAATTTCTGGCACCATATTGTGCAAACGGCCAGACGAGGGAGAGACGAGGTATGCAATAAGGAAATCAATAGCCATCGTAACAATCTGATCGAAAGTATCGAAAAGTCATTACGCAGCGTAGCGTAGGGGCGCAGTAAAAAAAAAGTCGCACAGCGAAATGAAAAGTCACGAAAAGTAAGAGGTTTATATACAATAGAAAGAGAGAGAAAAAGAGAGAGAGAGAGAGGGATAACACATACCCATGTCGTTGAGCAAAACGGCAACTTTGAAATAAGCCTCGTCCATCAGGGCTATTACACAGGCCAGCAGGACCTTCGGCACGTAGCTCAGCCAGAATCCGTAGCCAGCAGCCTCCAGTTTCGCGTCCCACCAGTCCTTCAATGCAAAAGAAACTACAATACTCCAGCAAAGTTCTACTTTGGTATACATCGGGCTTGTTGTGCAGGGTATAGGTTAGCCAAACTTTTTTTTATTATTACAAACAGATACTTAGATAGTTGGCAAACTATGTGATTTTTTCCTATGGTTCAAAGTTTAGAAAAAAGCTTAGTAATCGTTATGGTTTGGGTACGTCTTGGCTTACCTGAATTTGGAAGCTTATGAACATGACTATAAAAACGAAGAACAAACAAATCGCGATTATTGGTACGCTGATGAGGTAACGAAAGGCGTTTCTTTTCCAGTTGGGATATGTCGGCTCGAGACTCCCCGTCACCGGCGATACCTCCAAAGTTCCCTTCAAGCAAACACCATTAATCTTTACTTTTTTACGTACTTTTCTAGTGCATAAAATACGATTTCATGAATGATGCGGAAAATGTAACTTTTGTGCATACGTATGGGTACAATAATTTATAATCCATTACGAGAAAACGTCTGCAAGTAAGACGCTTAACTTAAAAGAAAAAAAACATTTATTCTTACCGAGAAACTACGGAACAAATTACGTCTAGGGAGGAAAATTACATACGTCAATAACTTTGAAAATTTTAGTTAATGGAGCATACTGCCCCAATTTCACCATAGTCTCGTGATTAGTGTATCATTTCGTGCCAAAAAAATTACTAATAGCATTGACTTTTCCAAGATTTTACTGTGTTGCATGTCATACGCGCAAGAACCATTTCTAAGCCCTTGTAAGCTCACGTAAAAACAAATCGATATCGACGTCGATTTCGAGACCTGTAGAGGCTCTGTATTTCATTTACCCCAGAAATATTTTATTTATATACATGAGTACGTCGCACTTCACGAGTTGCAAACCACACCCGCACAAAGGCTCTTTCTTAAGGTTGTTAAACTGTTCGTAACCAGCACTACGTAGATTAGGCTCTAACGCGCCTTTCTACCCTGCAAACTTCTCCGCGTGTAATTTCTATGCAAATCTTTGTCCCGAGAAACTGTAAAGTAAAACTCCGTCTCGTAAAACGAGACGCTAATAGCACTGCACGGCCTTCGGATGAAAAATTATAAAATAACGTGTAAAACAAGCGAAGGCTTTAACAATGAATAATAATAACGACCGTGTGTACGGATATTTTTCTCTGTCCTCTCGGTGGAGCAGAAAAACCGATATCACAACCCTTTGTGCGGGGTAATTATGAACATCCGAATGAGCTTTCCTCCCCCTCTTTTTGAGATCGAAATAAATAGTTTTTAAGTACAAACACACACTATCCTCCTTGGCTTACCGTAAACAGTGGCCTCGGCTCGACGAGCAAGTCGTCCCTCTGGTCGAGCGTGCCCCACCTGTAGGCCAGCTCGGCGCCCCGACGCTTCCACGTCTCCAGATACACCGTCGCCCATATCACGTTGAAGATGGAGAATAGCACGTAAGCCACGTCCTCCACCGCCTGGTTCCTACCGATGATGCCGACCTGTGTGTTTTTTCAACCAGAAACACAAACATTTTTTTCGATTTAAATGTCGATCTTGTGTTTTTTTTTATGTGGGAAGGTTGCACGTTGAGGGTGGATTATTGATATTTTTTTTTTCCTTCAAGACGCTGTTGCAAGAAAGTCGCTGTGTGTATACCTGACGAGGGTATTTTCGGTGGTTACGAGTTTGCGAGTTGGGTTGTTGCGTAATTCTTTGAAATAAAAATCAGGCGATGTTTTGATCAACTTTTGTACCTTTTCTTTTTCATGCGCATACGTATATATACGCATTGGAACCATAATGTGGATTTTGCGTGTGTCTTGTTTCGTTGGTTTCGATCGGTAACGTAAAATCTATGGGCTATATACCGTGGAGGGAGACCATTAGCACAACAATTAAGAACAAAAAGTGTATACCAGTGGAACTATGTGTTCTTTTGAACAATATGTACTTGGAAAATGTAGGTAAAACATTAAGGGGAAAATGATATTGGTTTTTTTATGAGAATTGTAATACAGTACTAGAATTAATACAAATTGAAAGAGGTGCCATGTTTTTGAGGGATCGTAGCTTTTTTTTAAAATGAAAAAAGTACATCTTCAGGGTTTCAAAAGATTTGATTTTAAAACAAAACAGTCAATTGCAATTTAAATTTAATTTTGACTTCAACATCATTTTGATCAACAAATTAGTATAATTTTAAAACTATATTCAACCCTTGATTTGAAGTTGTAGATAGCTAAAATCGAATTGCATCATAGCTTAATTGAATATTCAATTGATATTTGAATAAAGTAGGGTGTTATATTATACTTAATGCTGATATACCTTTACCGATAGTTTTAGCGATATTAGGTATTTAATGAAACAAATTTCTGTTTGATTGTGAAAATACTATTCAATTATTTATAACCACTTGTATCAGCCATGAGCGGAATAAAAAATTACCGAGTAATTTTTAATTTACTAATAAAAACTTCTAGTTAATTAAAAACGTTTTTTTTTTTTTCAATTTATCAGCTGGATTTCAATTCCAGTCGGTGATGAAAAACTAATTTTTTACGTCCTAACCGAAAGTACAGTCCACGCCTATGTAGTGTAAAAAATATACTGTATGCATAATAAACTAAAAGTAATATCATGTGACTTGGTTATGTCAACAAACGCCCGCAAAACGCCATCACCCGCAAATTTAAGTAGAAAAAGTAGAAAGTCAAGTAGAAACAGACGAGTGTAGTCAGACGGTCTTACTTTTACCTTTCAAGTATTTAACCAAAAAAAAGAAATTCAGCTTCATAAATTTATGTACTGCATTTCATTGTCATCTAGAATAAAAGTTTCACTCATCCAACAATCAACAGATACAAAATTTAAATAAAAACGTATGAAAAATAATACACGTGACTGCACCGCTAAGCATTTATAATCTCAAATCGATCGTCAAGGTCTAACACGAAAATTTCGTAATAATCTTCTTTCAGGTCCAAAAGAATAAAAAGTCACCCATTTTTCCTTTCCGGGCGTCTATATACGTATTAAACATCGCTCAAAAATCTCCAACGCAAAGGCCGAAGTTGAACTATCGCGTAACAACCGCCCATACCGACTCAAAACACCGAAAGCCGTGAATCATCCGCTCAACCCGACAGACAGCATCTCTTTGTATACGATTATCTACTCGGCACTCACCCAGTATATGACACCCACTGCAGCCGGAACAATGAGGGCGGTGGTGTAGTGGCCCAGCCACGCAAAGTACATCGTGATCTTGACACCGAAGTACCTGGGCGAGTACAACAAACATATTTGTATGAATTTGTTCAGCGCATAGTGAAGTTAAGTATACTGTTTTTCCACATTTGCACAGTGTCCATCGGACTTTGCAAAAAACGCACCTGGCTATGTCGTCGAGGGGTTGTGGACTCAAGAAGGCTCGTACCCACGACTGCTGCAGTTTTTCCAGGGCAGGCAGCTCGTGGAGAGGGAAGACCTGTCAAACATTCGTAGCAACGTTTTTTTTTCTCTCTTCTAATTTTTCATACGCACGGTTTAAATGGAAATTCATTCGCAGGATTATTTTCAAATTGGTTTCAAGTGTACGCGACTCGTCAAATGAAGTTATTATCCGGCCTCGGAGCGGATCGAGTCGTCCCTTGATTAATGGGTGAATTTCATTATCCACCTTTTCATCGCTCAAAGCACTCTTGGGGACTCTTTTTCCTTTCTTTGTTTTCACACGACGCTTTGATTGAATCATCTAGAAAGCTTGTTTTTCATGCGATAATAATTTTTGCTTGAGGAATCGTAAGAGCTATTTTTTCTTTTATCAATATAATTTTTTCATTAACTACAACTGGTGGCGTCAAGGGTATTGTTAATATTTATATTTACCATTACCTTGAAGTTTTAAATTTATGGTTTTTATTGAATTACATGGCTGGTTGCATAATTATTGAAGATGCAAAATAAATAAATAAGATCCTTTCGCGCAAATTGTAGTTCGTCTTATGTGCACGTAAATGGTCTTTNAAAAAAAAAAAAAAAAAAAAAACTGAAACTATAATAAAAATGAATTATTCATCTGCAAGTGCATGCATGTCTTACGCTTATAGTACCTACGTATCACTCGGAAAGCACACGACTGTGATTCATGCATATTTTAATCTTGATTTATAGCACGTGGTGCAAGTATCATGTATTCCAGTACTATTTCACTTTTACGTTATAATCAAGTCGTAAAACGGCAAGGGACCTTCTAGTAAAATTCACTTGATCGCGTTTCCAAGTAATAATCGCGTTTTTTTTTTTTAGAGATATGTAGGACTCTATTATTGAACTTATGTTATTAAAGTTCTCACGACCACGTCCGACATTGATTTCATCGAAGGGATTTGTCAAAACGCGCAAGGCTAATAAAAGTTTGAATGGAAGCTCAGACACATCGACAGCTCTATCGTGAGCCTTTTAGTTTTTATTACTCGATTTTTTAATTCTAGTCTCAACCACAACCAACATATGACTTTTTCTTGACACACTGAAATGTTTCGCGCGTAATTTATACTTTTTTTCATTTTGAGGAACAAACGCACCCGCATCAATAACATATTTCTCAACTCTCATTTACTTCTGAATTATGTGGCCATTGTTATCCCTATAGTCCGATAATTAATTAAAAACACGAAATGCCAAAAATCCAATAAAAACCAACACAAGCCCAACCCATGGATTATGAAATGAATCCACATCGGCGGCAGTTACCTGTGAAATAACACCCGCGGACAGGCATTTGGGAACGATCGCTTGGCCATCGACGAGTTTGAGTCGTCCGGCCAGACTGTGCAGGTCGTGCGGGCCGGCTCTCAGCGTGTGCAGCAGGTGGAGCACCAGGGACTGGCGCTCCTGGGTCGTGAAGAAGCGGCTCTCGTCGTCGCTGCCCTCGAAGCAAGTAGCCTCCGAGCCGACGAACTCCTTGAGACCACCCCCGTACTCCTGGCGCAGGCGTTTCGGCAGGTGCACCTCTTCGGCGGCTTTGAGGAGCCTGCGAGGACCCCGAAAAAAACGGTAGTTGTAATGTCATGTGGAAATCTTGGAAGAACCCACTGGACAAAGAGCTTCTCAATGCGTTGTAAGATGGAAAAAAAAAAAATCATCCCAAAGTTCCCCGGAAGCTGTACGTCCCAAAACAGATAAAAATATACCAACACGGCGAACGGTGCGGTCAGATAGAAACCGTAACTATCCGACGAGGCGTGATGCCGCACGTGAACCACGAGTCCTGGCGTCCCGGCGCGAAGGCGTCCCAGAAGCCACATTAATGTCTTGTCGTTGCTTCCGCTTGGAAACATCATGACAACGTCGCACTCCTGCAACACAATAAGGAACATTTGTTAAGGAAAAAAAGGAAGGAAAAAAAACGAGCTTTATTAGAAATTGTTCGACCGGCATTGGCGAAGAAGAAGGGATACAAAGTACTCTGGGGACTGCAGCTGAGACCGGCTGGCGAGTGTTGTATTAATTTTCTAGCCACAAGCGCGAACGCTCCTTGATGTATGAGGCTAACGTTAGGTCCAACCAAGTTGGCTTACGCGAGTTTCCCTTGCGTGAATGTATTTTGCAGCGTCGCACAACTTTCACCCCATAGGGGAAGTTTGAAGGATATTTACGGGACTTTGGAGTTACGGGATACTTTGCTTGATTGTTTTTCGTTGCGTTTTCTCTTTCACTGCAGGGGATGCTTGTCATCCTGACTCGGTAATATTGACAAAGGCGTGTGTAGTATACTTTAACATATACAATTAATTTAGAAACAATGACTTTAACAGGATTGGAAACTCGAAATGCAAATA